TACTGAATAGCAGATTTAAGTAAATTGTAGTTTAAAACAGTAACTTACAAATAATATTTTAAATTGTATGATCTTGGGTTTGCTGAAAGATTTCTCACCTCTAACATTCATTATTTTTTATTTTTTAGAACTTAAAGTTATATCTCATACTTTTAAAAAGCATATTAACAGCTTCAAACATTTACCACATGTGATACATTCAGTAAGCACTCAGTGCTCACTGTTTAATCAGCAGGCACCTCAGAATATGAGGAGAACTAAACTACATTCAGAGGGTCTGACTGTATTCCTTGTGCTTTCATTTATTCATTCATTCTTTGTTTCCTTTCTTTTATTCAATAAATAGTTGACAGTATTGTGCTAGGCACTAAGCGATGTATAAAACTGACGATACCTGAGTCAACCACTCAGAAAGGGATCAGTACAGAAGATCCTGGATAAAGTGGGAGAACAATGTGGAACGATACTAAAAATCATAAAAATCATAAAAATTAAAAAAATTAAAAAAAAAAAAAAAAGACCAGGCTTACTGGTCTGATAGAGGCTGATGAAACCCCCTAGACTACGGCCCCTAGTTACCCTTCAGGCCTGGAATTAATTGAACTCCTATAGCTTCCAGCCAAATAATAGATAGGCATATAGGGTGGACATTTACAACAGGTAGATAGATACACTCCTTAGCATGAGCAATCATGGGAGAACAGAAGGGCAGTATTTGTACAGGGGGATAGCTCAGGGGGCAGAAATGCCTAGGAAGGGAGGACACAAGGAAGAGGTAACTACCGGAGAGAAGAGAGCTGTTACATTGTGGGTATTGCATGCAATGCATGAAACAAAATGTGTATTTGCTCTATAAACTTAAATCCAAATCACAATAATTTTTTAAAAACAAACAAACAAACAAAAACTGATACCTGAGCTCCTGGGGCTTCCAAGCTAGTGGAGCAGTCAGATATTAAAAAATAAGTCTATAAACATATATAAAATTGTAAATGCCATAAAATGTTCCAAAGAAAAAAACAGGATGTTGTAAATAGAGTTTTCTGGAAGGTGGGTTCTGAAGGATGACTTAGGAAGATTTAGGCAAAAACTTAGGGAAACTTGGGGAAGAAGTCTTCTGGGTGGAGGAAGCAGCATAGGAAATAAAGACATGGTTGGAGCATAGTGACAGAGATGGAGGCAAGAGCCAAGAGTGCTGTAAGTCAGTGCATTCTGGAAAAATTAGTTTGTCTATGACTTCTTCCCCTCATTTTGAAAACAAGTAGCTTGTATTAGATGTTTTCTCCTAAGAGGGTACCTTCTAACCCTGAAATTCTGAACCCTATAATTATATAACCCTGGAAGGAAGAATCTCTAGAAATCTGTACTCAGCCATGAGTTCTGAAATCAAAGCAATAATGGGATGGCCAGAACATGCCTGGGCCATTGATCACTGCAGTTTTAGAGAGATCTGGATAAAATAGGGTATATTCTGAGTGGCCTAGAGTATGACTAATTCTCCCAGTTTGCCCGGGATTGAGAGGTTTCCTGAGATGAAGGATGTTTAGCACTAACAGGATAGTCCAGGGAAAACAGGGTACTGGTCACCCCAATACTGGCCTGTGTGGGAATGCAAACCCAAATCATTCAAGGATTAGAATGCTTAGATTGGACACATGAGCACCCTTTCACTGGTGGACAGTTATTTGTTTACAAGCATCTCAGAGAGATGCTTAGATTTTACTATCCTTACAGCCTTTTCTAGGAGCTCTGGTAGCATAGTGCCTAAGGCACCTGACTGCTAACCAGAAGGCTAACGGTTCAAACCTGCCAGCCACTCCTCAGAAGGAAGGTTGGGCAATCTACTTCCATAGTGATACTGCTTCGGAGACCCAAGGAAGGGTCGACATGACGGCACATAAGAACAACAAATAATCTTTTCCAAGTGTGAGATCCTATAATTCTTAGGATTTCATTTCTGCTGCCTAGGATCTTTAAAAGGTTGCTGGGTGGGGCAGACGATCTGTTTGCATAAACGTGACAGCCAAGAAAACCCTATGGAGAAGTTCTACCCTGTAACACAGGTGATTACCACATATAGGAATCAACTCAATGGCATGAGATAACAAGGGTTTTTAAATAAACAAAAATAAAAAAGTCCCCATCAGTGATCTCCTTTGAGTCCTGTGATACAGTTATTAAGTCCCTCTCTTTCACCAACACAACATCTTCAAATATATATTTTCATTCCTCCACAAGAACACACCCTCACACAGAGAAGATACTCACAACCTTTTTGGTGTGCAAAAGTTTTCTCTCCAAGACTTACAGATTTAAGCCTGACTTGCTACTGGTCTTCATCAGGTAAGCTTTAGCATTCTGAACAGCAATGTCAAGCATGCTGGGGGCTGCTTCAGAGACCTCAGGCTCAGCCTGATCCAGGTCATAGTTACCGTTAGAGTCTTCCTCCTGGACAATATCAAATCTCAGCTTTTTTTTATTAGACTTGTTATCGCTCACGTGCCCTGGCCCAGGTGGGTGAGGTTTTAGTTGCTGAGACTGTTTCAAGGCTCTTTCCTCTGATGGGCTTGTTTGATGAGGAGTTGATTCTTCTTCATCAGTCTTTTGCTCCAGATGATCAGAGTGAGGTGTCCCAGTTTCAGGAATCACACTAGTGGTCTTGTCTGATGGCCCTGGTGTGGCAAGGTCCTGTCTGGCCAAATCCAGGGGAGGAGGACTGGAGGAGAGGTCCTGAGGAGGGGCTGGGGTTGCTGATGCTCCTGGTGCTGCGAGGTCATCCTCAGGTGTGCTGGCTCTAGTCTGGGGGCTCCAAGATACGCTGCTCCAGGGCTGGGGTGCTGTTTCTGGCCCCTGCTCGGACTTCGCGGGCTCCGGATCTTGGGAGGAAGCTGCTGTCATTTCTTCCCATCGTCCTCTAGCTTTCTCTGGTTCTTGGTTTTGCTCTTCCTGATTCAGGAAAGTTGATTCTTCCATGGAAAGAGTCAAGAGAAATCGCTCTGGGTGAAGGGGCCGTAGATACAGCAGGAGGCAAAACAGCGCAGTCGCTTTATAGGCCTCTTCAGCTATTTCTTTGCTCAGGTTGCCCAGCAAGATGCAGCGTCCTCTCTCCATAGCAACCCCGGGCAGGGTTCCTCTTAGATAAACAACGCACCCCTGTTGCCAGGATTCTAGAGAGATTGCCAAGAACGGTGAAAATGCTAGACTTGTGATTTGGTGAAGTCCCTGCTCTTCTTCCTAGCGCAGCCAATTCACCCTGCGTTCGACCAGTGTCGGCTGGAAACCCGAGAGCTCTTCGGGCTGTGCCTGAGCCCTTTGTAGGTGGAGCAGCAGCCTTACGCAGCGGGATCTTAAGAGTCTGATAGTTTGACCCAAGTTCCGCAGAGAAGGGCAGGCAGTGCAAAAATGGAGGGATAACGCATTAATAGAGGGCATATGTCAGCGTGTGTCTGCAAGGAGAGAGAGAAAGAAAAAGGAGGAAGAGGCGGAGGGAGAGGGAAAGGGACAACTTGGGAATCTCGGAGGTGCAGGTACCACTTGGGTACCGACAAGAGAGCCCAGGATTGATGTCTCATCTGCGCCAACCAAACTCGGGGGACTTTTGGAAAATGAATGAAGTCCTCATTTTTGGTCTTCTCCCTTACATGAAATCTGCCGTGTTAGCAGACAGAATACTACCTTTAAACAAAAGGCAACACAAAACTTTATCCCATAAAAATAACGTGTTCGTGACTTACCTGTTTTCTAATAATGAAATCAAACCAACTCTTAAACTATATTGGCAAAATATAACCTTTATTTTTCTGCATTTTGAGTGCCTTCCAAACTGAGTGGCTCATTTTCTGGCACTGTATCAGACTGTGTTCCTTCGCTATTCATAAGGTTCTCAATGACTAATTTTTTTCAGAAATAGACCATCAGGTCCTCCTTCCTAGTCTGCCTTCATCCAGAAGTGCTACTGAAAACTGTCCAACGTTGGGAACCCTGCTGGTATTTGAAATATCTTTGGCATAACTTCCAGCATCATAGCAACACAAAAATTACCACAGTAGGACAAACTAATGAATGGTGGAAACGATTATTAATAATTAAAAATTAATTAATGTAACTAATCAAATCAAAATAATTAACTTTCAGGTTGGATGCTTCCAATTTGCAAACAACTCAATAAACCTTCTGAGTTCTACAAATATTTTAAGTGTGTAAAAGATTTGCTTAAACGGTTCTGGTGATAAGGTGGGGATCAGAAGTGGACCATTAGCACTTTTCAGAGCTTGTGAAAAATGTAGGCATGGTACTCACTGAATCCTTTGTGTTCTCTGCCTTTTTTGCCACTTCTGGAGACGGTAGTGAGTCTCTCTCCGATCTGAGTTCCATGACTTTGTGTTGATTTCTCTGAACTCAATAAATTCTTCAGTCCTGGGCTAGCCAGTCAGTTATCTGAAACTGACATTGGACTCTGCTTGTGGCTTCTCAGTCCCTGTTGTTGTTGTTGTTATTTGCCATCGAGTCGGCCCCGACTCATAGTGACCCCTCCTTGGGTTTCCGAGGCAGTATCACTACGGAAGTAGGAATGCCCAACCTTCTTTCCGAGGAGTGGCTGGTGGGTTTGAACTGCCAGCTTTCTGGTTAGCAGTCAAGTGCCTTAGGCACTATGCTACCAGAGTAAATGCACAGTCTCTTCTTGATTCTGTTGGTTTTGTTGTGCACATTTGAAGAGGGGCGGACTAGTCTATACATTAAAGATGGGGTCTTTGTGTTGCAAGTGAGTGCTCTACCTTCCACAACTACTGCCTCGGATATTGCCAAAGGGGCAGGGAGGCCGCATCTCCTGACCTCCTCTAACCCCACAAGGGAAAGACAGAATCTCCATCAGTATCCCAAGGCCTATCCCTTCAAGGCCAGACATGTTACTTCCCTCCAGCCCTTGCACCAACAGTTCCTCCCACAACACCCACCACTTCTCTGCTAGGTTTGATAATTCACTGCAGTGGCCACACAGAACTCACATATTATGGGGTTTATTAGGGAAGTATCAGCTACAATTCAAGTTCAGGAGGTACATGCTCAGTCTCTTTCCCAGCAGTGCGTGTTTCTCGGTGTTTCTTTCTCAGCAGTGTGTGTCTCTCAGGTGCATGTTTCTCTCAGCAATACATCTTTCTCAGCCTACAGTCAGAGAGACCCCTTCTGGCCTCTAGGAGGGCTCTTATTGAGCCTGGCAGAGTGGCCAAACTAACTAATCATAACATCAGAATTCTAAACACTGAGAGAGAATGAACTTTCCAGAACATTGCTTTCTGCCACTCTCAACAGAACTACCCCAGGTGGATAATTTTAACAATCAGGAGCTCCTCAGTTGCTCCTAGCAAATTCCACCATGGAGTTTACAAAGACTTATAGCTAGAAAAGCCATACCAGGTAATTTTCTACAGCACAGGTATGTTTAAAAATTATGGACCTGGAAGTTGAGCCTTCTTGCAAAAATGGCAAAATTTCAATAAAGACAATTTGGAATTACAATGGCCAGTGTGGGGAACTTTTTAGTTAGATAAACTGATCTATTTAAGTGGAAAGCTTGAGAAAAAGGGTCCTCTAACTAAACAAAACCACCACTTATCTGTCAGTTTGTTGTACTGTGGTGGCTTGTGTGTTGCCGTGAGGCTGGAGCCTATGCCACCAGTATTTCAAATACCAGCTGGGTCATCCATTGTGGACAGCTTTTAGCAGAGCTTCCAGACTAGGACAGATTTGGAAGAAGGAAGGGGCCATCCATTTCTCAAAATATTGACAGTGAAAAAACCTTATGAATAGCAGTGAAACACTGTCTGTTATATTACTGAAAAGGACCAGGCAGTGTTTTGTTGTGCTGCACATAAGGTTGCTATGGGTCAGAGCTGACTCGATGGCACTTAACAATGACAACTAAACAAGGAAGAGCCTTGGTGGTGCAATGGTTAAGTGCTCAGCTGCCACCTTAAAGATGAGTGATTGGAATCCACCAGGAGAAAAGACCTGGTAATTTGCTCCCATTAGGGGTTGCATCATAGAAAACCCTATGCAGCAGTTCTTCTGTGTCCTATAGAGTCACTTCATGTTAGAATCCCCTCCTTGATGCACAACAACAGCAGCAGCAATTAAACAAAAGGAGCAGGATGTTATTTTAACTAGTATGCTGAATACTCCGGGAGATGTCAAGAATCTGAAATCGCTTACCCAAAATTCATTACAGAAAGCGAATGAAAAGTTAAACCTTCAGGGAGCTTCAAAGACAGATGGTCATCTAGGACAAATAACTGACACAACTTTCTGTGCTTCCCCACCCCATTTATTCTTCTTTACCTGGAATCCCATTGTCAGATAACCCCTTAAGTCCCCTTTTTCATAGAAGAACCAGCTGCAACTCCCTTTTAGGTCAGATCTGCAATGGATGAGGGTAAAACATCTAGCATTTTTTATATTCCATGGTCAAGAAATGAATTGCAGTCTATACTTAAAGGATTTCCAAATCCCCACGATAACTCAAAAACTTTATGAAAGATTTAGGATTCTAATTAGTGCCTATAACTTCAACCTGCCAGATCTTTATCAATTAGAACATATGCTGGTGGGTTCAGGAGATGTCCAAAAATGGTTCCAGGAGGCTGAATGGAACAAACCAGAGGAAGATATTAATCCTCCCTAATATTCAGTCCTCTGACTCACCACGTACTGACTAACGCACTTGTAATGTCACTGATGACCTCTTTAAAAAAATTTTAATTTTAAATTTTGATGTTAAGAATATACACAGCAAAAGATACACCAATTTCCACATGCACAGAGTTGTGCAACAATTCTCACCCTCCTTCTCTGAGTTGTTCCCCCCACATTAACATAAATTCACTGCCATCCATGGTTCCTGTATAATATTTTCAGCTGCTTTGTCACTTTGATCTCATACAGATAGTCCTTAAAACAACATAATGCTAAGGGCAAACTTTTTTTTTTTTTACTACATAAACTATTGCTTATTTTTAAGAAGAATTCATAGAATGTTTTTGGTTTAAGTTTTACAGATTATCTCAGGACAATAGTTTCAGTCTCCATGGCTCCAGAAAGTCTGGAGTCCATGAGAATTTGAAATTCTGTTCTACATTTTGGCCCTTTTGATCATGATTCTTCTATAGATTCTTTGATCAAAATGTCCAGTAATGGTATCTGGGCACCATCCCGTTCCTCTGGTCTGTTGGCAAAGTAGGTAGTTGTTCACAGAGACAATTAGCCACACATTCCAGATCCTCCTATTCCTGACTCTTCTTCTTCCACTGTTGCTCCAGGCAAACAGAGTCCAATTGTTGTGGCTTGGATGGTGGCTTGCAAGCTTTTAAGACTCCAGGGACAGTGCCACAAACAAGCAGGTAGAACAGAAGCACTAAACAAGTTATTAGTTTAACTAGCTGGGATGTCCCGTGAAACCATGATCCTAAACCTCCAAACCAAGGAGTC